TTATGTCTGGTTTATATTTGAAATATGCTAAAAGTCCACAGAGAGGAGATATATAATAATGTAAGAGGTGCCAGAACACTCTCAAATGCAATTACAAAGTGCCCCACCTAGGGGGCGCTCCCCTCACGCCCAGAACCGCTGCAGTAAAAAATTGTGTTCTTTCAACTAACTTTAATTGCAGTTGCTGTAGACACAATAATCGCCTCTATGATGAAAATAGTTTGACAAATCTCCCAAAACATCCCTTAAAAGCTGCCTCTTTTCAGTTCTTTCATTCACTGAGAGGTATAGTGGAGGATATTCTTTTTCCGGTTGCATAAAATAAATAAGTGGCCCTCCTAATTTTTAAAAGGCCATCCTTTGTGCTCGCGCCGTTAGCTATCTTTTGCACTTTCAGGCGTATGTCTGTGGTGAGCTACGGTTTCAGACAGTCATTGAAGGTCACCTTTCTCACCGGCATTGTTTGAAAATGGCCGACGGTCATAAGAGAAAAAGTGTCTACAAAGTGTATGAGAAGAAAAGAAAGGCCTCAGAAGAGGCAAATATATCCCAGAATGCTTTGCACAGAGAGCTCTCCTCACAAAGCATTATGGGATTTGCTGTCACAGCGGCCCGCTGTAGGGTAGCGACAGCGGCGACTAATAGCAAAGATAGCACCAGCGTTGTGGAGTGGAGGAGGAGTTAGGTGACCAACGGAGCAAAAAGTAGTGATCATCTGTCCAAATGGTCAGTTTACTGCCATCAACACATGTTTATACATGTTTGAGCTCGGACTGTTTTTCCAGTGTAGTCCTGTTTCTCTGACTGTGACTAACTGGATGTGCTCTCTTCATCCTCTGACATGGGAGCTGGCTCGGAGCTCGTCTGCCTGGTTGTGTGTTTCCTGGACGGGGCCGCCTGTGGAGCTGGTTGACAAGTTCCTTTTGTATTTCTGTTTATTTATGTATCTCCGCTCCTGTCTCCTTGAACCCCAGTGGGCCTCAGCAGATGGCTGCTCACACTGAGCCTGGTTCTGCTGGAGGTTTCTTCCTGTTAAAAGGGAGTTTTTCCTCTCCACTGTCGCTACAAGCATGCTTAGTGTGAGGGATTGCCTTTGAGTCAATGAGTCGCTGCAATCAGCTGGTTTTCCTCAAATAGAAAACTTTGAATCAATTTGACTGTATGATCTGGTGAACTGGAAAGTTCCTTGAGATGACGTGTTGTGACTTGGGGCTATAGAAATAAACTGAATTGAATTAACTGAGTTTGCTATAAATTCCCCTATACAGTCCCCGCTCTATATAGTGATTAAGGGATTTAGGGGTTAGGGTGGACATTCAGACACAGTAAGCTTGAGAACAGCAACTTTTAAACAGAGCGTGCACGAGGAGAAATTGGCTGGTGCACGATCTCGCACGCATTTAATAGACGTTCCCTCTTGGGAGCGGGTACGGGGTTGTGCATGTGCATTTTTTTTCTTTTAAGTGGAGAGGGCCGGTCTTTTAAAAAATTCGCGAAAATCCTCCACTATACCTTTCAACATTACCGTAGTAGCCATTCAAAACTTCCCCCACTTTCCTTGATGGTCCCTTTGCTGGTCCTTGGCGTGTCCCATACGATTCCTTTAAACATCAATCTTTGAACTGAAATACTGTCATGATTCTGTCATGATTTGTGGACATTAAGCTCTAAAGAGAAATGCCTTCTCCTGGTCAGACCTTGTAATTTAGTGAAAGGGTGGAGTCAGAGTAAAAAAATATGCAAGAGGGGGTAACTACCAGTGTTGGGCAAGCTACTTGTCCAGTGTAGTGAGCTAAGCTATCAGCTACTCAACAATAAATTAAGCTTCACTACACAACAGCTACCACCTAAAGAATTATAGCAAGCTAAGTTACACTAATGTGTTAAAAGTAGCTTAACTACATCAGAAGCTACTTAACGTTGTACCAACCTAATGTCAATTCAAAATGAGTCTGACACACTAGTTAAAATATTTATTAAAGATCAGCCAATGACATATCACAGTGTAAACATTGCTTTATGATCAGCATATTAAAATAAAAACTAAAGTAATTACTAGTAGACAAACTAGTAAACAATCTGCTGTTATTAGAACCAAATTAAAGGTACTGTGTAGTGTTCTACACACCGAGACATGGCTATGAGTTTGCATTCAATGGACATCTCTAGGGAAAACAAAACCCTACAAAAGACCTCAATTAAACAGTTGATTCAAGTAACAAACAAAACTGTTTACAAAAGAAGGTGAAAAAATAAAGAAGCTAATTAAGAGATACATATACACTATATTGCCAAAAGTATTTGCTCACCTGCCTTGACTCACATATGAGCTTAAGTGACATCCCGTTCCTAATCCATAGGGTTCAATATGACGTCGGTCCACCCTTTGCAGCTAGAACAGCTTCAACTCTTCTGGGAAGGCTGTCCACAAGGTTTAGGAGTGTGTTTATGGGAATTTTTGACCATTCTTCCAGAAGCGCATTTGTGAGGTCGCACACTGATGTTGGACGAGAAGGCCTGGCTCTCAGTCTCCGCTCTAATTCATCCCAAAGGTGTTCTATCGGGTTGAGGTCAGGACTCTGTGCAGGCCAGTCAAGTTCATCCACACCAGACTCTGTCATCCATGTCTTTATGGACCTTGCTTTGTGCACTGGTGCACAGTCATGTTGGAAGAGGAAGGGGCCAGCTCCAAACTGTTCCCACAAAGTTGGGAGCATGGAATTGTCCAAAATGTCTTGGTATGCTGAAGCATTCAGAGTTCCTTTCACTGGAACTAAGGGGCCAAGCCCAGCTCCTGAAAAACAACCCCACACCATAATCCCCCCTCCACCAAACTTTACACTTGGCACAATGCAGTCAGACAAGTACCGTTCTCCTGGCAACCGCCAAACCCAGACCCGTCCATCAGATTGCCAGATGGAGAAGCGCGATTCGTCACTCCAGAGAACGCGTCTCCACTGCTCTAGAGTCCAGTGGCGGCGTGCTTTACACCACCGCATCCGACGCTTTGCATTGCACTTGGTGATGTATGGCTTGGATGCAGCTGCTCGACCATGGAAACCCATTCCATGAAGCTCTCTGCGCACTGTTCTTGAGCTAATCTGAAGGCCACATGAAGTTTGGAGGTCTGTAGTGATTGACTCTGCAGAAAGTTGGCGACCTCTTCGCACTATGCGCTTCAGCATCCGCTGACCCCGCTCCGTCAGTTTACGTGGCCTACCACTTCGTGGCTGAGTTGCTGTCGTTCCCAAACACTTCCATTTTCTTATAATACAGCTGACAGTTGACTGTGGAATATTTAGGAGCGAGGAAATTTCACGACTGGATTTGTTGCACAGGTGGCATCCTATCACAGTTCCACGCTGGAATTCACTGAGCTCCTGAGAGCGACCCATTCTTTCACAAATGTTTGTAAAAACAGTCTGCATGCCTAGGTGCTTGAATTTATACACCTGTGGCCATGGAAGTGATTGGAACACCTGATTCCAATAATTTGGATGGGTGAGCAAATACTTTTGGCAATATAGTGTATATATATATATGTCTCACCGTATAATTTAATTTCTCCCTACATATTTATTCATTGTATTTTTGGAGGCAATTAATTGAATGCTTATTTATTTATTTATTGAGCATTTATTTATTTATGTATTTATTTTATATACGGTAGAGCTGTTCCTCCATAAATAAAAACATCTTGTCTGTGCAAAGCCTAAAAACAGATTTATGTAAACATCCTGTCAGGTAAACTAGGCCATGAAAACACAATATCGAAGTTTCACTACTGCTCTCTAATTAGAGTATCTTAGTGGCACATAGATAGGAGTGTTATACATAGGAGAATTATCCTGCCATAATGCAAGAGCACATCATTTCAATTTGAGAAAAGAATTTCATCTTCTTGCTCTCAAAACTTATAATGCTCACACTCCAAACATGCGCTCTCTCTCAAATATTTTCTCTTCTCTCTTTGTTTCTTCTCTCAGATTTAATGCTTCTTGCACAGATATTTTCTCCTCTCGCTTGCCTCCTTCTCTTCGCGCACAAACCGCGCTCTGTTACGCTCGCAAACCCGTAGGCTCTGCTTGCGGATTTGTTTTGCTCTCTCAGACTGCAGTTGGATCGTTGCCTAGCAACCTTTCCAGCCAATAGAACGACAGCCTCGGAAAGGGTGCGCTTGTTTAACTCTACTGAGTGTGCCTCCGCTACTACGCCACTTATAAGAGCGTCAGCTGAAACTGCTATTTACAGTAGCTTGTGGCTGATTGTTGTTTCAAAATAGAAAACCTGGTTTCATTTCTAAGTTTTGCCCTGGATTTTGTAGCGTTTGTGGACGCTACGTCGCTACTTGATCAAAACAATAACGTCGCTACAGGAAAGTTACTTGATAAATAAAGCAGCGACGCTACGGTCAAGCTACTGGAAAATGTAGTTAAACTAATAGCTTCGCTACATGTAGCGGCGCTACTGCCCATCACTGGTAACTACAGTGGCTGGAAGTTGGCCGCCATTCGGGAAGGGCCATTTTGAATGGCTGCTACTGTATGCCAGCAATTCCCTGGCCTTGGGCATCAATTCTCATGGAAGGGGAAAGTCTCCACCACATCATCGACTCGCCTGGTGTCTGTTTTCACTTCACAATGGTGGACATGCATTTTACTTTGGAAAGCAAACCTAAGCTACCTATTTGATCTTTGCAGTTGCGGCACACTTAGCTGTAGATAAACATACCATCCGCTTTGCTACGATCACACCTCACCTGGCAATGCTCCCGAGTCCCTCTACTGAATAATTTGCTCTGGTTGCCAAAATGGCATTAGATGTGAACGCACCCTTACATGTTCTCTAGTGTAGATAAAAGAGAGAAAACAAATATTTTACAAGGTGTCAAAGCCACTGACGTTTGTAATTTAGTGCAGAGTTCATTAATGTGAATAAAACAACATCTTCAAGGTCAGTCCCATTTTTCTCTAATTAGTCCTTTCATGTCTACCTCATTTACTCTTTTCCATCCGATCGGTCGTCAGAATCAGGGCCTGTGAGGCCAGAGAGCGGGGTTGGTGTAGGGCGAGTAGGGGCAGTTGCTGTGACACGCACATGAGTGGATCATCATCACAGCTCTCTGCAGCAGTCTGCCTGTAGGGCAGCGGAAGGTCACCCGAGCCGTGGAGGTTTGGTGCGGTGTGCAGCAGCGAGAGTCGGTGCACTGTCCGCAGTACCTGAGCCTGTAGGCCTGCAGGCTGTAGCAGCCCCGATGGACGAGGCGGAGGGGGACCGGTGACCTGTAGGTGGCCTTGCACCGACCCTGCTGTCCTCTCTGGGGAGTCAAATGTAGCAAAGACAAAAACAAAAAACTAAAAATGAGAAACATTCATTTTTTTTTTACTGTATTTTTTTTTTTTTCATAATGCATAAAACAATTAACTATACAATAAGTCATATACAGAATAAATCGAAAACAAAAGGACTGTAATAAAGCTACTCCTCTGGTTAAATGTATGTTAAAACCTAATATACAAGTCTTGCAAGTTATATTTATGCAAATAAAGATTTGCTTTGATTGAAAGGGCTTCAGACTGCTTAGAAATAAATGCAGAAAGAAGATTTTTAGTTCGTCCTCCACGATATTTTAATGCAGTAAATGAATTGATTTTTTTCCTGAATGAATAGGGGCTATTTTGAATAAAAAAAACATCAAATATTTCTGTTCTGTGTTCTTGCTCTTTGTTTAGTTAATCAATGCAAAAAAACTGCTGCATTTTTTAAGCTTTCTCTGTTGACAACCTTTTTCTTCAAACCTAAGTGAAACTTTTGCACACATTTTTAAAGGTTTCTAATTTAAGTTTTGACACCATCCATGCTAACTCACAGCCAGCAGCTTAAATATAACCAACACCACAAGCTCTGAGAAGTTCTCGTAATTATCTGAATGGCAGAAAATTAAAGTGTTCGTGTTCCTATTTCTAGCAGCATATTTACACCGTGGCACAGCTACGCCACTTTTATCACAGAAAGGTCCCTGTGCTGCTCATGCTGGGTGATTTGGAGCCATCTGCTGGTGTACTTCGTGTAAACCAGCCATCTTAGTTCCTACTCTTTTAATTATCTCAGCTTCCTGACACCAACAGAAGCTCTTAAATATATATTGGAACTCTCCCTCAGAGACATACTGGATCAAAGGGACATGTTATGTCCCTACTGTGCTTCAGATAATAAGCTCTGCTTACAGTATTAATCGTTTGCTTTGTATATGGACATAAAAAATTGGGGGAAGCTTTCTAAATGGGCAGACCAGGACCAGAGAAAACATGACCATAGTCATTCCAAAAAAAGTAAAAAAAAAAGACAATCCGCTGGACTTTGTTTCCAAGTTTGAAGACGTTTTGCTTCCCATCCAAGAAGATTTTTTAATTCAAAATGATAGGAATGGAATTGAGTTTGTGGCTTTAAAGAGTGGACCAAAATACACTTTGTCTTGGCTTAGAAAACATGCAAATTGTTCCCTTTGGAATGGCTGTTGTTTCAGTTCTTTGTTAGCCTGTAATATCAGATACTTGTCTATGTCTCTGAAAGAGGGTCATTAGGCGGTGTGTTTCCTGGACGGGGCCGCCATTTACAGCTGCTTTTTCCATCTCTGCTTCTGTCTCCTCGAACCCCAGTCGGCCTCAGCAGATGGCCGCTCACACTGAGCTGCTGGAGGTTTCTTCCTGTTCAAAGGGAGTTTTTCCTCTCCACTGTCGCTACAAGCATGCTTAGTGTGAGGGATTGCATTTGAGTCAATGAGTCGATGCAGTCAGCTGGTTTTCCTTAGATAGAAAATGTTGAATAAATTACACTGGATGATCTGGTGAACTGGAAAGTGCCTGCAGATGACATTTTTTTGTGAATTGGCGCTATAGAAATAAACTGAATTGAATTATTGTTTTCATAAATTTTCATTCTTTGGTCTTTTTTGGTTCTTAGTTTGGTTAAGTATCACTAGTTTAGTCGAAAACTTTTAAATCAGAACATGTTTGTTTAATAAATTCCTATATTAAGAATTTAAAATTGATTGATTGATTGATCTGTCACACAGCCAGTCGGTGCTCGTATTCACATAACAATATATGACAGCCCAAAACTTATTGGATTAAATAAAATAAGTCTAAACAGCATTAAATTGCATTAGAGTAAAGAATCTGAAACAGAAAACATGTTCATAATTCCGTATGCATGAGTAAGGGAGGATAGCTTAACTTACCGAGGGTTTCCCTTTCGCAGACTCAGCAGCCTGGCAAGGTCGCACTTTACACAGTCGTGTCTCCATTTGCAGCTTGCAGGAGGGATTCTGGTTAGAGACCCTTGTGGAGACGCCGGTCCCGCAGCTCTGGGAGCAGGCGCTCCATTGGGTGGTCTGCTCTACGCAGGTGGAGGCTGGCAAGGCCAGCTTTGGGAGAACATTTGTTCTTGGCAATACTGGCCATGATCTGCCTGGTCGCATGGCTAAATGAAAATTAAGAACAAACAAGATTAAAAAGGGCATGCAATTTCTGTTTGTTTTTTTTCTGACACTTTTTTGAGCAGATGTTATATTTTCAAATTCTATTTTATGTTGTCAAACTTTATGTTTTCAAATGTCCGACATTGAGTTTTACGAATTTCCTTCTTTGTGTTTTACATCTCATTTTCACTTCAGCCTTAAGCACAGAACAAACGTTCCCTTAATTCCCCATTGCCCAATAAAAATATTGAAGTTTTTTTTTTTACTAAATCAATAAAAATGTGAAATAAATTGTCCTTTAAAAAGTGAAAACATAAAGATTTCCAACTAAAAATTATTGTTTGAAAATAAAACGAAAAGATTTGAAACTGAAAAATATTGTTCAAATAAAAAAATAAAAACAGATATATTCAAGACTGAACAAAAACAATATAAATTAATAAAAATACGTTTTTAAACTACTCAGTTTTTTTTTCAGGTTCACTAAAATCAAACAAAAATATATTTTTCTCCAATATCAAAATGTCTGTCCCATGGGGGCGGGGCTTAGATGGAAGTTTAGGTCATTGACAGTTTAGGTGCCTGGAAAAATATCACAGGCTGTTGTATTCAGGACCGTGGGAACCAGAAATGTCTTTCAAGCATTAGCAATATTAAAATTGCTTTAAAAAAAGGCTTTAGATAGCTGTAATGTGAGAAAACTGTAAATAATGTTACAGACTCTGCATCAAACTGACAACACCAAACCAAAAATACTGCATATTTGCACCATATGTATTTAATGCTCTGAAATTCTATATCATTGGGTTATTTTTTAAGTTCCCCCCCCCCCCCCCCCCCCCCCCACAACGTTTACATTTGATCACTGCTGCACTTAAAAAAATGGAAATTTCATGAAAGCTGTACAAACCGAGATTTATTCTCATTTTGTACACACAGAATGTATACAAAACGAGATCTTGTTTACACTTTATACACTGTATACACTTTAGTTTTCAAGAAATATGTTTTAGATTCAGACTGTTTGTGTATATATATATATATATATATATATATATATATATATATATATATGTCCCATACGATTATAATTGTTTAAAAACATCACCTCCATGTTATTTCATCTATGCTAGTTTAGAGACCCAGGTTAGATCATTACCATCTGTGATTCACTGGGAATAATAGTTTGTAATCAAATATGTTTAGTTCACAAATTCCAATGTTCTTTATTGTTCTATGATTAAAAAAATCAACTTTAATCTTCAACTCTGACTCAGTGGCTGATTTTTAGGCACAACAATAACAAGATTTCCCCTTTCTGTCGCCATAATGGAGTCTGACTCAGACCAGTGTTTGGAACTACAGGCTGGCTCCTTTTCCCCTCACACACCAGCCTCATGCACAAACACCGCCAGACCCTTTTAACAGAGTAACGTAATCTCTGCGTGTTTTCAACCTCTCCCAGCTGCGGTTTTTGTTATGAAACTAGGAAACATGGTGACAGACAAAATGAAATGTTTTGAACGTTAAAAAGACAGAAAAATGTGGTTTCAGAATTTTCTTCTGAACGGACACACCCAGGGTTTAGTGCAAAATGCTCCCGTTAAAACTTCCAGACGTGACCACCAGTGACAGACCTCATAAAACGGATTAAACCATCACTTTCTCATGCGCTAACTGATCACTGAAGTGCAGAAACGGAGCTACATACTGCATAACCAAACAATAAGGACTATGCTGTTGGTTTTCAGCCTAATTAAAAGTAAATGGATGAACTTTGAATATTTAAGAAACTGTTGGCAACTAACATGAAAACCAGCAGAACATCAAAACCAACAGATATCTTTGCTAAGTTAAAGTCTTGAAGCAGAATAGGGCAGAATAATATTCTAGTAGCTCATTAATTCACATTCAGCCTCTTTCACATCTTAATGTACAACCTGACCAGGTCATTTTCTGGGTAGGTTAGGACTAATGAAGCGGAGTTTGAGCAGGCAGCAAGGTAACAGTTTAGCATAGCATTGTTGTAGCAAGAAGGTCCTGGGTTTGATATCTGCTTTGTTGCTTGTTCTCCCTGTGGATGTGTGGTTCTCTCTGGGTACTCTGGCTTCCTCCATAGACTATAAATCTGACTTTTAGGTTAATTGGCATTCCTAAATTGTCCTTAGATGTGAGTTTGCATGGTTGTGTGCCTCAGTGTTGCCCCATAGACTGCTCTATCCATCCATCATCCATCCATCTGTCCTTTTGTCCATCCATCCATCCATCCCTCAGCACGGGCTCCCCTCAGGGCTGCGTCCTGAGCCCCCTGCTGTTCACCCTGATGACATATGACTGCGTCCCCAGGTTCACCACCAATCACATCGTGAAGTTTGCGGACGACACCACGGTGGTGGGCCTCATCAGGGACGACAACGACCGGGACTACAGAGAGGAGGTGGAGCAGCTGGTGGACTGGTGCAGTGAAAACAGTCTGATCCTGAACGTGGAGAAGACGAAGGAGATCATCGTCGACTTCAGGAAAAACCGCCCCCACCATGCTCCACTGCTCATCAACAGCTCAGCTGTGGAGGTGGTCAGCAGCACAAAGTTCCTGGGGGTGCACATCACGGACAACCTCACCTGGACTGTAAACACTTCATCTCTAGTGAAGAGGGCACAGAAGCGCTTGTACTTTCTGCGGAGGATGAGGAGAGCCCGCCTGCCCCCGCCCATCCTCACAACCTTCTACAGAAGCACCATAGAGAGCGTTCTGACCAGCTGTCTCTCTCTGTGGTGTGGAGGCTGCAGAGCTTCTGACTGGAAGAATGTGAGGAGGGTGGTGAGGACAGCGGAAGGAATCATTGGGGCTCCTCTTCCCTCCATTAAGGACATTTCATCACAGCGCTGTGTGTCCCGAGCCCGTAATATCATCAAAGACCCCTCACACCCCCACCATGGACTGTTCTCCCTGCTGCCCTCTGGAAAGAGGTTCCGCAGCATCCGCTGCAGATCCACCAGGTTGTGCAACAGCTTCTTCCCCACTGCCATCAGACTGTTGAACCTTTGATCCACAATCCGAACTCTGCACCTATTGCACATTATCGGGCATCAAATGCTGCTGAACTTTTAACTTTTAGCCCTTTAAATTGTTCATCTCATTGTATTTTTCAATAACGCATTTTTTGCACAAATGCCATTTTGCACTGAACCACTGCAACTTGCACACTGTCTCTTATCCTCTGCACTGTTCACACTTTGACCACTGCTGCACTTTTTGTATTTTTCTATAACTCGTGCCATTGTGAAATATCAATGCAACGTTCATAAGCTGTATGTAACGCAATTTCGTTCTGTATGCACCCTGTGCATACAAAATGACAAATAAAGAAGTCTAAGTCTAAGTCTAAGTCCATCCAACCATCCACCATCCATCCATCCATCTGTCCTTATGTCCATCCATCCATCCATCCATCCATCCATCCAACCATCCATCCACCCATCCATCTATCCATCCACCCACCCATCCATCCAACCATCCATCCATCCTTACATCCATCCACCCATCCATCCATTCATCATCCACCCATCCATTCATTCCTCCATCCATTGATTCATCCATCCATCCATCCATTGATTCATCCATCCATCCATCATCCACCCATCCATTCATTCCTCCATCCATTGATTCATCCATCCATCCATCCATCCATTGATTCATCCATCCATCCATCCAACCATCCATTCATTCATCCATCCATCGATCCATCCATCCATTGATTCATCCATCCAACCATCCATCCATCCATCCATCCAACCATCCATTCATTTATCCATCCATTGATTCTTCCATCCATCCATCCATCCTTACATCCATCCAACCATCCATTCATTCATCCATCCATTGATTCATCCATCCATCCATCCATCCATTGATTCATCCATCCAACCATCCATCCATCCATCCAACCATCCATTCATTTATCCATCCATTGATTCTTCCATCCATCCATCCATCCTTACATCCATCCATCCATCCATCCATTGATTCATCCTTACATCCATCATCCATCCACCCATCCATCCATCCATTCATTCATCCATCCATCCATCATCCACCCATCCATTCATTCCTCTATCCATTGATTCATCCATCCATTGATTCATCCATCCAACCATCCATTCATCCATCCATCCATCCATCCATCCATTGATTCATCCTTACATCCATCATCCATCCACCCATCCATCCATCCATTCATTCATCCATCCATCCATCATCCACCCATCCATTGATTCATCCATCCATTGATTCATCCATCCATCCATCCATCCAACCATCCATTCATTCATCCATCCATTGATCCATCCATCCATTGATTCATCCATCCAACCATCCATTCATTTATCCATCCATTGATTCTTCCATCCATCCATCCATCCTTACATCCATCATCCATCCACCCATCCATCCATCCATTCATTCATCCATCCATCCATCATCCACCCATCCATTCATTCCTCTATCCATTGATTCATCCATCCATCCATCCACCCATCCATTCATTCCTCTATCCATTGATCCATCCATCCATTGATTCATCCATCCAACCATCCATCCATCCATCCATCCATCCAACCATCCATTCATTTATCCATCCATTGATTCTTCCATCCATCCATCCATCCTTACATCCATCCAACCATCCATTGATTCATCCATCCAACCATCCATTCATTCATCCATCCAACCATCCATTCATTCATTTATCCATCCATCCATCCATTCATCCATTTATCCATCCATCCATCCATCCATCCATCCATCCATCCATTGATTCATCCTTACATCCATCCAACCATCCATCCATCCATCCAACCATCCATCCATCCCTTACCTGTTATGGCGTCCTGAATCACTGTGTTTTCCAGGTTTTCACACATCCATTCCCTGCAGCATCTCCCCGGCAGACGGACAAACTGTGGACTGGGACAATCTGGAGTGGGACGACGAGCGGTTAGCGGACAGGTCGGCACACAGCTCACCCCCCCACCTGTGCAGCGGCAGTAGGAGTCACAGGAAGGCTGGAAGGACTGGCCGTGTAGGTAAGTGATGCCGTTCACCTCACAGCTCAGCTCCTCCCTACCTAAAAATAAAACAAATCAGAAAAAGCTCTGGTTTACTTTATGGCTTGAATTGGTATAGAAAATTTGACCAGGAAGTGACAGCAATAATTGGAAACAGGTGATTCTTATGCAGCTAAAGTGGAAAATTGAGCCTTTTATCCGTTTATTAACTTACTGGGGTTGTCACTGCAACCTGTCATCCTCAAAGGACAACTATTAAAGGACATTTCCGTCAACAGCATACATGGAAACAGAAGCCCAAACAATTTGGCTTCCTGGAATATTACTGCCACCTCTCACTTTTTCCTTTCCACTGGCACAGACTCTAAACATGTACTGTTTACTGCCAGCTCATGCAAATTTAATCAACCTTCTGAACGTGTCCTTGACTCACCGACACACTGTCCAGGGTCTCCAGGGAAGCTGGCGCTGAAGTCACACTGCAGTCCTTTCTGTGTGTCGCAGGGTAACATCTCTGTGCATGGCTCGCCTCGCTGGCGAGCACACACCTGGCAGCATCGGCAGCCATCCAGCACCAGAGGGATTCCCGCAGGACACCGGGGGGCAGAATTAGGGCAAAGGCAGGGCATGCTGCACAGCTGGCACAACGCCTTCAAGAAATAAGAAAAAAACACATGAAACTAACACCATAACCTGACAACTAAAATACAAGAAATTATTCACATGTATAAACAAACATTTGTCATGATGGGTCTACTACGCTTGACCCACATGCAGAAGCACTTCACAGAGACCGAAAAAGATTTAACAATTTATTGTAAAGTTCTGTACACAGATAGGAAAAACAGTCTTCAGCTTGGGGAGGTTCCAGCGGTCTGGTGAACCGGAAACTCTAGGAGGAGATCAGAGTGGTGAGTTGAAGGACTGTGGGAAAACGGAGGTCTGAATACAAGGTTTCTTGGATTCACTATGGTAGTAGGGGAGGGTTTCTGAGATCCCGTTTGTGGAGGCTTGGTCTGTAGAAGGCTTGGTTTGTTGGAGGGCGGACAGGCAGACTATGTGAATCCTGAGGAGCAACTTAGCAGACTGACTCTTGGTTCCAGAAGGGCTCAGCTTTCAGATGAGGAGATCCGTCTCCTTTTCTCAGTGTGACGAATGTTTCCCTTCCAGGCTAGAAGGGCCAGCTTATCCAGAGGATCTGGAAAATCCTGCCAGTAATTCAAAGACATAAATAAGGTTAGGACTGAAGAGCTCTGAAGCCACTTAGACTCAAAGTTGACTCTGCAAACTCAGAGGGGCTAGAGTATCCAATACTATGGCAAGGAAATGAAGACAGTCTGCTCCTTAAATACTCCTCAGGGACTGATGACCCAATTGGCTGCAGGTGTGAGGTGAGAAGAACAGGAAGCCCTCCAGACCAGCAGAGGACAATGGCACCATCTAGTGGGTGCACGGTGAAACTGCAAAAGAACATAAACAAGCCCCACAAACTGGAATCCTAACAACATTAGGAAAAAAAGAGAAGGCTCTTTTCAGAACTAATTTTTGTGCTTTATGGTTTAATTTGCCAAAATAATGGCGATACCCATAATTGGGTCATTGTTATGCACTTATATTTGTTTATTCAATTTAATTCAGTTTATTTATATAGCGCCAATTCACATCATGTCATTTCAAGGCACTTTCCAGTTCACCAGATCATCTAGTCAAATTGATTCAGTTTTCTATCCAAGGAAAACCAGTTGATTGCATCGACTCATTGATTTAAAGGCAATCCCTCACACTAAGCATGCTTGTAGCAACAGTGGAGAGGAAAAACTCCCTTTTAACAGGAAGAAACCTCCAGCAGAACCAGGCACAGTGTGAGTGGCCAGCTGGGGTTCAAGGAGACAGAAGCAGAGATACAAAAAGCAACTGTAAAAGGCAGCCTCATCCAGGAAACACACCGCCAGGCAGACAAGCTCCAATATCAGAGGATGAAGAGAGCACATCCAGCCAGTCAATTCATACAGCCACAATGATTTATCTTAATTTACAATCATTTTATTGATTGCTTTAAATAGATTTCTCTACCTGTAACACCCTGAGAGCTTTCCCTCACCAAGATGGTGTCTTCCTTTAGTTTATTTCGTGTTCCTCTTATGGTTTGTAGATAAGTAGATAGTTTTGATTTAGTGATTTAGTTTAATTCAATTTGGTTTAATTTTAGAACGCCAAGGGGGCATTTACCATTCGGCAATACTAGGCAGTTGTCTAGGGCCCCAAGATCCTGGGGGCCCCATAAACCTCTGTTAACATGTATGGTTAATACAAATATTTCTTATTTGTACACATTAAATATGTTTTTGATAAAAATCCTTTGGCTAAAATGCCATTAGAACGCTTATAATTTTAAGTGTGTCTCAGCCCCCCCGACAACATCTAAAAGAAGCGAACTCTGCTCTCCAGAGCCAGTAGATTGGTAACCCCGCCTCCTGCTCTCCTCTATCTTGTCTGCTGTCATGATTCATGCAGCTATTATTTCATCGAAATGAAAAATGGGGAACAGATAAGCAGATCATGGCTTGTCTACAGTGAAAAGAAGGACTGGGTTATTTACTTTTGCCGTCACAATACTTTCTCTACTTGTAACCCTTAGTTTCAAAACATAGAGAGGAAAACAACAAGAAAAGGGACGAGAAGAGAGGGACAAAAACCTAGAACAAATAATGGATGTCTATACTATTAAAATTTCTCTATCTGTATAATGGGTCTGTTTTATGTGTTGTCTTCTTAATTCAAAAGTCCCCCTACCTGTGTTTGCCTAGGGCACCAAAGTTCCTAAATCCACTCGTTATGCGGCCTTAAAATGCGTCCTTCTTTTTGTCCGATTTGAAGGACGGGTCTGATGTATCCTCGGTATTCTTGGATATCCCAGGATTCATTGCGAGACCAAGCAAGCTGTGATCAGAGGAAAGGTTACTTGGTGCCGAACAGTGGTGAAAATTGGAAGTTCAGTTTAATATAATACAAGTCATTTAATAGTTCCGTCTGAGATGAATGAAAAATAGTTGTTTTAATGGTTACTGAGTCAGATATGTGGCGGTAGTGTTTGGTTTATCTAAAGGTTTTTATCTGTTACTGTGTAAATGGGTTTGGCTGGAATTTAAGGACAGATTCTAAAATATCTGCAGAGTGGGGACTATAAATCTGATAGGAGTTTAATCTTTTTATTGCTGTTTTGCACAATATGCTTAACTACGTGTTTTTTGTTGTTGAATATTAGAGATTTTGCAGATATATTTTTTATAAATACATTGTTTAGATTTACTTATATATTTCTACCCCTTTTATAGAATAGAATAGAAAATCCCTTTATTGTCCCACGATGGGCAAATTTACAGCAGCAGAAAGATTATTTAAAATGGTCACACAAATGTGGACCTTAGAAAAATGTATGAGAATAACATAATAGGGAAGAATTAAAATATAAACAATACAATACTGTAAAGTGTTTTAACAATATAAAACTGGGGAATAAATAACCAATATCCAGCTATGGACATTTTTACAGTAATGGATATTTGAAAATAGCAGCAACATCAGAGATGTGCAAAATGACAGCAGCATTTTATTTAACTGACTAAGGTTTCTATCATTACATTTGATTTTATTTGTTCCTGCTCCCGGTGGTTGGAACATTTATTCCATTCTGGATTCTTGTGAGTGTAGTCTTTGTTCGCTTCACAATAAAAAAGAAATAAATAAACAGTTTTGAAAACTTCTGTATTCATTCTTTTCCTGCTTTGTGTGTCAACGTTTACCCGCCGAAGGGTAGACCTGGTCGAATTCACAGCCTAAACTCTTCCGGTCTCCTTATTTTCAAGGACTTCGAAGGATCCAGTCTAGGTAGACTGCGTCCTTGGAGGACACGTCCTAGGTTTTCGAACAGAGCCACTGGATTGACCCCTTCTTGTATATTTTTTTTTTTTACTCTGACTCCACCCTTTCACTGAATTACAAGGTCTGACCAGGAGATGACACTTCTCTTTAGATCTTAATGTCCACAAGTCATGACAGAATATTTTAGTACAAAGATTGATTTTTAAAAAGGAACCATAGAGGACCAGCAAAGGACCAGCTAAGGGCCCATCAAGGAATGTGGGGAAATTTTGAATGGCTACTACTTTAATAAAAAAAATGTGGAAACAGAAGCAAAAATCCAAAAACATAAATCCTCAAAATTCACAAATACATCCATACAAATACTGAAAACAAGGAATATTCTGAAGAAAGGCAAATAAACAACAATGAACCAGCAGCAGTGACTGAACAGGAGATGTTTATATGGCAGACAGAAACAAAAACACCAGGCTAATTAGCAGATTGGGAGCAGGTGTGAACAGAGGAAGCTAGAAGGGAGCTAAGAGGAAGGAGACTGGCACAAGAGGGCAGCAGAGGGCAAACAAGAAATACTCAAGAATTAAAATACAATAAAAAAAAACTAGAATAACACAAAATGGAATTAAAACAATGAAAACTCAAAGATAAAACTTAAACAGAACCAAAACAACAGACAACCCTCTAATTGCCAAATTTTTGCTATACCATTTAAATACCATGTGAAGTGTGACACATTTAAATTGTATAACTGGTATTTTAAGTGACTGTATTTATGGTTTCTGAGCAGCTTTGATCATTAAAATTCACTACGGTCTCCCTGGTCATAAAAAATGAAAGAAAAAAAAGGAGCTGCAACTTGATTGAAAAACTTCCAGCTGCTGTGGGATATGAAGTCTGGCCTGCAGTGTTTATGTGGTTCAGAAAATGAACGGTTTGGGAACCACTGGTCTACAAGTAAAAGCTGAAGCCTTAGATAGTTGTTGGAAAGACGTGGTGATCCCAGGATTTCCTTGAACCCTTGTTGTTTTGGTGATCCTTCCTCACGGTGTTCCTCCGGATTCTATTCACCGTTCCAGTTGTTTAAAACCTTTAAACTTTTTTTTTTTTGATTGTGAGGACAAATTTAGAAAAGTACCTTTGTGTTCCTCGCCACACACCTCCCTCCTTTTTCTAAAAAGTATGTTAAAATGTATACTGTAACCCGCAATTAGTCAATCAAGACTTTTATTTTTGCGGGCCCACTTCCTGTTTTGCCCAAACTCCTCAACTTATTTAAAGCCCCGCCTCCAGCCAGGTTAAACTACATCACCTGTTCCACTGTGATTGTGGCTGGCTATTGGCATCCTGCTGAACATTTCACCCTGGAAATAATCCAAATCTCTGAAACCACTGATTTGCTCTCTTGGTGAGTTTGTTCCTAGCATAGCAGTATCAGATTGGTATGCAATTGCTGCTTGATTGCTCATTGGAGCATTGTTTTATTAGAACAGTTGCTGTTGTGCCTGGGCTGTCACAGCCGACCCCTAGGACTCTAGAATTGATTTTTTTTTGTGTATTTGTAATTGTTTTGTTTGTTGTTGTTTTTTTTTCCTGCCCCTTATTTGTTTCCCTGTTTACAAGGAAAAACAATAATACACTTGCACAAAAACTAAAACAGTTTCCTTGTGTTTTCATTCACACCTCAGGCTCCTTAACGAACTGTTTTTCTGATATCGCAGTTAGCTGCCTAGCCCATAACTGTTACATTCTTTGGCGAGCTAGCCAGGAGCCTGATGCTGTGGATGTTTTGGTGAATGTATTTTGTTTTGTTTTGAAACATGGATTTCTTTGAAGGAATTGGTATTAATGTTGCTCATTCTGTTATTGTTAGTGGTGTAACAAACACTCAAGCAGATGATAGGATCATTAATTATTTACGCAGCTATGGTGACGTTAAGGTTTTTACTGTTACTGCACGTGAGAGTCCATTTTATAAAAACCTGGCCGTTGAATTTGTTAATCCTGCAGATTGGAAAAGCTAAAATCGCTTTTACCATATATTTACCAATCTGAGGCTGCAGACGATGTTATATTTGTTATTAAATTACTCTCAAGAGAGTGCTGTGCCACAACCACAGTGGATACAACCCAAGCCCCTGATTACCTTTATGAACTGAAACGCATTTCCCAGCAGAGTGGACAATCATTTGATGATGTTCTGAGAGGAATTTTTGAACAAATAAGTGCTCATTTAGGAATAGCGGCTACCGGAGGGGAGCCTGATGAGGCTGATGATGAAGAGACCACAGTGGAAATATTTGCTACTGACAGAGAATCCAGTCAGACTCGGCCGTTGAATCTTTCCTCAGACCAATCAGATCAGTCCACCACCAACCAGCAAAGACCACAAACTCAACCAAATCCAACTACAAACGTGGGGCCGAGAATTTCTCTC